ATATGAAGTATTATGGTTTGAGAGAGCATCTCCAATTATAACATGGGTTTCTAAGGAAAAATAAGTTTTGAATACTGAACACTTGACTTACAATCCATTTCCAGAAACACTGTGTTGTAAGTTGGGGCCCCAATGTACATTTCAATACACCACTGATGAGTGTAGATGCCAACATATCCAGGTTCACAAATGATACCAAATTATAAGGGTAAAAATAGAAGCAGACAGTAAGAACTGGACAGACTACAGCAATGGTTGAACAAGTTACTAGATTTCAACCCCACTAAAGGTAAAGTAATAAGTCTGGAAGCTAGAAAAAGAAGTGAGACAAAATCACTTGGAGGGGAAAAGGAAAATGAGGAAGAGAATGTTATAATGTACAAAAGTGTATCACCTCTGGACTACAAAAGGTCCTCACAAATTCATGAAATACATTAAATTTTCAGAATTACGATAGCAGGTTTAGAGAGTACCAGATATATATGGCAATGGCTGCCTAATATTAAGTTGTGATTTATGGCTATTTACTAATAATGCTACCAAGAATACAAAATATTTAGGTCTAAGCATGCTCTATATTATTAACAAATAGGTATAAAAAATGCAAGTATATTTTTAAGTAAATACTATCTTAATCCAAGAAGAAACAATATCAAAATTTAACGTTTTTTGTGGTACCATAGTTAAAAAATGTGTCGATGGATTTACTGCATCTCCCAATGATAGCATGCTTTGAAATAAGGATTCTATATCTGTTCTGGACAGTTCCCTCATTAAAACTAACAAACCCCTTTTGGAGTTGACCTGTGAATTACCATACACATGTAGGTCTTGCTTACAAACAATTAAAGGCCATTATTACTGAGAAGTATCTCAGCCCACATGCAATTGTCTAATCAATCATCAATACAATCCTGTAAGGGGAAAACATTTTCTGATACATTATCTTCAACAATTCATATGTTGAAGCTGCAACTTTGCATCCCCATGTCTTCAGTATGGCTGCTGACAAACTACAGGTATTGGGTATATGTCCAAAGCACACTTGTTTTACTTATAGTACTTAGCTAGGATATGTAGAGCCTAGCTAAGTACCATGACACACTGCTGACTCAGGATGTGTATTAGGTGTGACACAGACTAAGATTTTTTTTTTTTGGCATGCACTATGCACTCTTCTTGCCAAGGCACAATACTACAAAATGACTACAATTGTCTCCATGACAGAACAATATCCCAAAATACATCTGTGTTAGTGTTCAGTGGCAGACCTTCCTCTCTACTATACAATATTGTACAGAAAAAACTAGCATGTAAGGAAATAAGCAGACAAGGTATCCTCTTCTTGACTCTTTCATTTCTGGGACTTTTTATGGACTGAATAGTTCCCTGTGGCCAGAATGTGAACTCTGGAAATCACTCCAAAATTATTCACTATATGTATGTGCAATTAATCCTTAAGTATGGAGTACCAGTGCAAAGCTCTAACTCTGACAAGCACAAGGCAAAATGAATACAAAAAAGTTCAAAAGAAAGCATCAAACCAGTACTTAATCTGACAGACTGAACTACAAGAGAAGAATCCATGAATTAGAAAAATAAAGAAAGGGCATTATCACCTGTAACTGGTTTTGAGTTATTCTACTCTTGAAGCCTGGCTTCATTGTGATAGCAGCCTGCAAGCCTACATAACCGTCACATCTTGGAACTTTACCAATTATTTCAGGGCATTGAAAAAAAAAAAAAGGATTCAGAACAGGACACAAATAGAAACTGCACAAGGATTTTAAAGACATTATTAATGAGGGTGAAGTTATAAGTGATATATGTATTTTTTTTTTTTTTTAACAAGTCAGCCATCTCCCACCGAGGCAGGGTGACCCAAAAAGAAAGAAAATCCCCAAAAAGAAAATACTTTCATCATCATTCAACACTTTCACCCCACTCACACATAATCACTGTTTTTGCAGAGGTGCCCAGAATACAACAGTTTAGAAGTATATACATATAAAGATACACAACATACACCTCCAAACTGCCAATATCCCAAACCCCTCCTTTAAAGTGCAGGCATTGTACTTCCCATTTCCAGGACTCAAGTCTGGCTATATAAAATAACCGGTTTCCCTGAATCCCTTCACTAAATATTACCCTGCTCACACTCCAACAGCTTGTCAGGTCCCAAATACCATTCGTCTCCATTCACTCCTATCTAACATGCTCATGCATGCTTGCTGGAAGTCCAAGCCCCTCACCCACAAAACCTCCTTTACCCCCTCCCTCCAACCCTTTCGAGGACGACCTCTACCCCACCTTCCTTCCCCTACAGATTTATACGCTCTCCATGTCATTCTACTTTGATCCATTCTCTCTAAATGACCAAATCACCTTAACAACCCCTCTTCAGCCCTCTGACTAATACTTTTATTAACTCCACACCTCCTAATTTCCACACACTGAATTTTCTGCATAATATTTACACCACCCCCTCAAGGAAGGTTCCTTGATGTTGGTGAGGGGCTCTTGATTTAGGGAATTGGATCTGTGCTCCAGTTCCCCGAATTAAGCCTGAATGCCTTCCACATCCCCCCCCCCAGGCGCTGTATAATCCTCCGGGTTTAGCGCTTCCCCCTTGATTATAATAATAATAATAATAATATTTACACCACACATTTCCCTTAGACAGGACATCTCCACTGCCTCCAACTGCCTCCTCGCTGCAGCATTTACAACCCAAGCTTCACACCCATATAAGTGTTGATACCACTATACTTTCATACATTCCCTTGTCAATATGCATTATGTACCAATAAATATAAGTAGGCAGGAAGCCCTGAACTACACACTAAGTGTCTTCAATGAGTTTAAAATACATTTAACTAAGGATGTTTATAGGAAAACACTTGTTGAATATCTAGAAAGCACTAAATTCCTTACAGAACAACAAAATGAATTAAAAAATGGCAAGTCACACTTGACAAAACTTTATGGAGACATGATAGTAACAAGAGTCAAGGCACAAAAGAGAAGGCCAGGTGGACTACATATTCCTAGAATAAGAGAGCTTTTGATACATAGCTCCAGAGAAAGTTAGTTAGTAAACATGAGAGGCAAACTGAGATAACAGGAAATCATGGATAAAGTGTCAAATTTAACAATAAAAAATAATTACTATAATAAATGATGTATTAGGATGGGAGCCCTTCAAAAGGGTAAGGGGTGCCTTGATGTTGGTGAAGGGTCCTGATCTAGGAACCAGCTATCCGTACCTTTCTTGGACCAAACTTTATTACTTCCCATTCCTTACAGATTAATCACTTCTCCATGAATACGGGAGACTGCGATCTCCTGGCTCCGCATTGGCCATACATGCCTTACCCATGGGTATCTCATGGAAAGACGCCCTATTCCTCTCTGTGAGGTCTGTCGGGTCCCTATTTCGGTTCTTCATTTTCTTGTTAATTGCCCGATTTACCAGTGAGCTTGCAGGATTTACTTCCAATGACGCCGCCGGCCTGCCACTTTTACTTTATCTTCCCTTCTTGCAGACGGCCCAGCCTTTGACCTACAATCACTTTTTGACTTTTTGTCAACTGCTTTACTGTACAAACTTTGACACATAGCCCTTGGTGTCCCTTCCAGCCCTTTTCTCCCTTCACCTCTGATCCCCTCTCCACCTAGCTGTTTATAGCTTCAGCATTATTTTCTGCCCTGCAGCACTGTATGACCCTTGTCGGTTTAGAGCTTTCTTTGATTATAATAATAATGCCCCCATGAATATAATGAGGATGGAAGTAACTAGTAAATCACACAAAGATTGTGTGCTCAGTCCCATTTTATTTTTAGTGTACATGAAAAACTCTATGAAGGAAATAAACTTCTTGATGTCCTCGAGTGTGGATGATGTCCAAATTACAAGAATACAAAAGGAGGGGGATAGAAAAAGGCTGCAAAAGGCTAAATATAATTCAGGAATAGCTAAATGAAGGATTACTGTTTAAATTCAACAAAAGTAGTTATTGAAGTTACAAAAAGACAAAAGCCAATATCATCTTGGAAAGAAAGCTCATGGAAGGGAAGAAAGCTCATGGAAACAGGCAGTGAAAAAAATAGGAATATTCACTAACAAACCTGTTTCTTGAATAGTGTATATACACACACACTCATGTGCACATGCTCAAAATCAGCAGCAGCACAGGGTAAGCTTGCAAACATAAGTGAAATTTAGAAACACAGATAAAGGCATATTCAAAACACTTTGCCTTACAAGACCCATTCCTGAGTGTAGGGCACCTGCACAAAGCCCTCATTTAGTAAACCAATGCAAATCTCTAATGTATCCCAACTGGTGTTTAAGAGAATGAGCTATGAAAAAAAAAATGAGACCTGGGCCTTCAGTCTCTGGATGAACAAAAGCATACAGGTATGTGATCATGACATACTGGACAAGATACAGTACAGTAATGCCTATAAATTCATAAGGTTATGGTCTTAGAGGTCTTGCACAACTAAAAAGTGAAGAATACAACATTAATTATGCAAAGAAATTGTTTCAGATTTAGCTCCATTCTGTGTTCCAAAGACCATATTTCTGTAATGCTTCATTCTAATCTGGTTAATATTAATATTTATAAAAAAATAAATGGCCAGAATAGAGTGATTTGAGGATGGTAAAGTCAATGATCCAGAAAAACAATCTATTTGCTGGTTACCCATCAGTAAAAAATATTGGATAATCAAAACCCATGAATAAGGAAGCCCACAAATTTTTAGGTGTGACTGTGCATAGTCAGGATAGAGAAGGATATGGCCTTTACCAGGGATGAAACAAAAACAAGTGTATGGTTAGAAATACTATACCACACACAAAGACTCACAAGGATACTTGGAAGTACCTCTTCTACATAACAGAAAATTTCACTTAAAAAACAGAATGAAATAGATAATGACACAGCAGAAACAAACTCAATATAATGGTTCAAATAAAACTATGATAGATCTAATTTATGTTAATATATATTTGTTGAAAGAAGAAAGATATGTCACTTAATAAAAAAACAAGTTGTGAGGCAGGCTCAAGCATGAGAGTTCACCCTCCCCTCCCCAAAGTTGAAATAATTACACAGATAAATGCAGCCTCTTATAGGCAGTAGGTTGGTAGACAGCAACCACCCAGGGAGGTACTACCGTCCTGCCAAGTGAGTGTAAAACGAAAGCCTGTAATTGTTTTACATGATGGTAGGATTGCTGGTGTCTTTTGTCTGTCTCATAAATATGCAGGATTACAGGTATGTCTTCTACTTCTACTTGCACTTAGGTCACACTACACATACATGTACAAGCATATATATACACACCCCTCTGGGTATTCTTCTATTTTCTTTCTAGTTCTTGTTCTTGTTTATTTCCTCTTATCTCCATGGGGAAGCGGAACAGAATTCTTCCTCCGTAAGCCATGCGTGTTGTAAGAGGCGACTAAAATGCCGGGAGCAAGGGGCTAGTAACCCCTTCTCCCGCATAAATTACTAAATTTAAAAGAGAAACTTTCATTTTTCTTTTTGGGCCACCCTGCCTTGGTGGAATACGGCTAGTGTGTTGAAAGAAGAAAGAAGAAATGCAGCTTCTTATAGGCAGTAGGTTGGTAGACAGCAACCGCCCAGGGAGGTACTACTGTCCAGCCAAGCGAGTGTAAAATGGAAGCCTGTAATCGTTTTACATGATGGCAGGATTGCTGGTCTTTTTTTTCTGTCTCATAAACATGCAAGATTTCAGGTACGTCTTGCTTCTACTTACACTTAGGTCACACTACACATACAAGTACAAGCATATATATATATATATATATATATATATATATATATATATATATATATATATATATATATATACACATCCCTCTGGGTTTTCTTCTATTTTCTTTCTAGTTCTTGTTCTTGTTTATTTCCTCTTATTTCCATGGGGAAGTGGAACAGAATTCTTCCTCTGTAAGCCATGCGTGTTGTAAGAGGCAACTAAAATGCCGGGAGCAAGGGGCTAGTAGCCCCTTCTCCTGTATATATTACTAAATTTAAAGGGAGAAACTTTCGTTTTTCCTTTTGGGCCACCCCACCTCAGTGAGATACGGCTGGTATGTTGAAAGAAGAAGAAACACGCAAGATTTCAGGTATGTCTATTTTCACTAGTTCTTGTTTATTTCCTCTTATTTCCATGGGGAAGTGGAAGAGAATTCTTCCTCCGTAAGCCATGCATATCATAAGAGGCAACATTCATTCATTCATTAGAGGTTCGCTGGTACTTCCGGCCCGGGTCTTCTCCATATGGTGACCCGGCTGTGGCCACCGGTTGGGGGTGTCGTTCATCTTCTTCTTTCTTCTGTCTTCTTTCTTGGGCCCTCCAGGTGGAGGGTATAAGAGGCAACTAACATGCCAGGAGTATGGGGCTATTAACCCCTTACCATGTATACATTACTAAAGTTAAAAAGAGAAACTTTTGTTTTTCTTTTGGGGCTACCTGCTTAGGTGGGATACGACCGGTTTGTTGAAAGAAGAAGAAATGCAACCTTTAACTTTTTCTGTAAAGCATGAAGCTAGGCATAATGAATGAGGAAAAACACACCAAGTACCTCACAAGTAACTGTACAGGTAAAATTTTTAAACTTTCAATGCTGACTTAATAAACAAAGTTGGAAAATTAATTTCCAATAATGAGCCACTTTTGGAACTACTAAAGTTAATTTTTCTAATTACAACAATGCAAATAACCACTTATGTTAGCCAAAGTGGAATATGAAAGAAGCAGAAACTTGTTTGTGGATGTTGAGAATTCTGCTCTATATCAAATCCATCTACCTTTCATGGGAAGACAAACTTTTAAAGCAACAAGCCTTGTTAGCAAAAGGAGGATTAATTTCAATTGCTTCACTTTTGTATTTGGAGAACTATGGGTTTAAAGTCAAAATCAGTATTGGCAGTGTGTACTTTGTAAACTAGGCCTAATTACAGGCTTAAAGTTAGGGAAGAAAATCCATTACTGTATTTAGTTGCAGTATAAAGATGTTTATATATTTACAGTTAATGTCACAAATCCTTTAATAGGAGGTACCCTGATGCTGGCTGGCAAGGGAGGGGAATAGAAATTACTCTCTCCTTCCTCCAATCAAGCCTCCCATTCCTAGGCATTGTATGACCCTTATAGATTCAGCTGTTACCATCAATAATAATAACTGAATAAATTGAATTGTTCAGTTCAGGTGATAAGTAAAACACTTTAGTGTATATATCTGGAGATGTTAAAAAATCTGAATATAGGTGAAGCTTTAAGACCAAGTTTTTGGTAAAAACTAAGGAGATAACTTATTTATAGGCACTGTAATTAAATGGTCAAAATCCACATGTATATACCTCATTATAACAAAGTTTACCTACACTATCTAGAAGTTGGTTTCCATTTAATTTCATAATTTTCATACATGCGAGTTAGGTTAAAATATGACAGGAGACAATATCGGACTGAGATACTTTCCTTTTTTTAATAAGTACAATATTTATACAGATTATTATTATATTCATAAGGAAGAACTATACCCCTGAAGGTCAAAAAGCACTTGGGAACTGGAATGCAAGCAGGTTTGATATAAAAAAAGAACAATGATAAAAAATAACAATAAAAAAAAGTGCTAAACCTACAAGGGTTATGCAGCACAGCATAAAAAAGGAAAGGTAATTTAAATTCTTTGGATAGAACTCTTCACCAGCATTAAGGTACCCCAACGAAAGGATTATGTACAGCTATGAGTTGCATGTATATCTACATGCAACTCATATTCATACCATGTGCATTTTGAACGTCTTAATGTATGGTATTTGAGGACAATATCCAGTACAGTACTTTAATTATCAAATATTTTACTGTCCTCTTAAAACTAAAGTTAACTCATACATGAGATACATGAAAATTAAGTTTTTGGCAGAAAGGTCATGAGTTGACTTATACGTGAGATCAACCTATGCTTTAGTATACTGTATATGGTAATTTTCTCAAATATTGTACCGCATGATTATTGTTTTTCCTGGATGGCCAAGCAATGACTGATGTTAATATTTTATCATTATAAATTCTTTTGGATAGATACAATTATCAAATATTCTGAGAGTCTAGTATCTTTCTTAGTAACAAAATCCCACTTTTTTTTTTTTAAAGTCTGTAAAGGATATCCTTTGCACATTTTGTGAGAAGTGGCAACTGAAGCGTCCCTGAGGATAATGCACTTAACTAGCTACAACACTAACTGATATCAAACTACACCTCAATCAAAATTACACTAAACCATGATGAAAATCAAGATGCATCTCTAATAAATTAAGACCGGATTAAAAAAGTTAACCAAAATACAGTGGTACCCAGAGTTTTGGCCGCCTCCCAACTCGAACAATTATGCAAGTGTATTATTGTAAGTGCTTTTGTAAGTGTATTTTTGGGGGTCTGAAATGGACTAATCTAATTCACATTATTCCTTATAGGAACAAATTCATTCGGTAACGGCACTCGAACAGCCTTCTGGAACAAATTATGGCTGGAACTCAGGGTTCCACTGTACTACATTGCATGATATTGTAATTCTACACAGTGTAACCTCAGGAACTTAAACAATATTTTATAAGCATTCTATAAACAGTATTTGAATTAACTCTCAAATATGCAGTATCGTATCAACAATAATAAAGTTAATAGGAAATCTGACTCCTAATAAAAATTAGACCATTTTAAATATTTTCTTCGGGTACAGATTAACCAACTTATTAACTACTGCATTTAACAAGTAGAGTATGTTAACTCTGAAAATAACAGTAATGAAAATTATGAGCAGGTACTCTATATTTTATATTACAAAATATCAAGAGTATTTAAAGATCCTGTTTATATTAAAATTACAAAATGTCATTAAATATTTGAATCCCCTTCTACAGCAGTGTTTACTATGGCATTAAATAAATGCATGGAAGAGTTTCTTAAGTACACTCTCTCATATATATGTAAGAAAAATGGCTGGATTAAATAGCTTCATATGCCTCATCAAATTCCTTTTCAGGTGACCCACCAAAGAATTCTTCTGAACCATCCTTATCTTTATCTTTCTTCTTCTTCTTTTTCTTCTTGTCACCTCCTTTATCCCTTTCTTTCTCCTTATCTTTATCCTTGCCTTTCTTCTTATGCTTCTTAACTGATTTATCATCTTCCTGTGAACAAAATGTATTACATTAGGACAAATGAGAAAGCTATTTATTCAAATGTACCCTCACACTGTATTTCGGAGCCATTAGCCTATCCACTCTATTGTTTCTTTACCTTTCATCAAACTGGTGGCTTATAATGATATATATTCACACTAACTCAAACTGCATTCTTCCTCTCCACTTCATCCTTCTTTTACCCCTAATGGTCATGGGCAACGTGACACTCATTTGCTATATCACAAAATGCTTTGCAAAATCTTTATAAGGAAGCTCTGCATTTAATTTATCTTCCAATGTATCCTGAGTATGAGAAACAGAACCTTCTTCCTATAAAGTCGTGTTGACTTGAGCTGTGCAATGCGTAGTTTTTCATAAAAAAATAAACCGTAGCTTCTTTCAAGTAATTGTGTAAGAAAATGAATACCTTTTCCACTTAATTCTTTCATTTTTACAAGTTCCATTGACATTCTAAACACAAACAAATTTTATTTCTTTGCAAGATTACACTGAGATCATGAAATTACAATAATGAGTTGCAGTGGAGAGAGAGCCACTATCATGCCTAGGCATTATGGGCAGACTTAATTTAATATTTTCCTGTAGAGTATTTACCAAGTATGTACTGATTCTAGTTATCTCTTCAGAACTGAAAAAAATGTGATCTGTGAAAGTTTTGCCCCCTGTCCCTTCCATACTGTCTGGTAAGTTTTGGATCCCCCCCTCATCCATCCCATACTGTCTGGTAAGTTTTACCCCTCCCTCCATCCTTTGTATACTGTCTGGTTAGTTTTGCCCCCCCCCCCATCCCTTCCATGCTGTCTGGTAAGTTTCTCCAGGTTTATTCTGAGATGAACAAAAGTGCGTGATTCCATGACTATAGTGAATAGACTTTTTTTTTATTTCACTAAGATAAAAAGGCATGTTTATCTCAATATGGGGTAAAAAAAAGTGCTTGATGCTTCTATCACTCTGGGATAAATAAAAATAAGTGTTTATTTCACTCTGGGATTAATAAAAGGGGATGTCTGTTCAACTGTACTTCTTATATGGCAGGTTAGGTTCCAGGCTACCGCCAGAAAGCGGATATTGCCGGAAAACAGAATTCCATTTTTTCCACTTATAAATGCATATAAATGCCAGGTAACAAGTTTACACTAACATATATTAAGTTAGCAATAGAACTAGGCATTAAAAACAATTACACATACAGTACACTCATTATTTACCTTAAAATATCTGTAGTCTTAGTGTAGGGTAAGAGGTGAGTAGTATTTATTTGTAGGAAGTCAGGTGTAGGAGGTACGGTAGCCAGCGAGGCCACCCAACCCACACATAATATACTACATTTAAAGTGCCCCAGAGTGATAAAATGCACATACAGTACATTTATTACTTACCTTAAAATATTTGTAGTCTTAATGTGGGATGAGAGGTGAGTAGTATTTATTTGTAGGAAGTCAGGTGTAGGAGGTATGGTAGCCAGCCCGGCCAGGTCACCCCACCCACATGTAATATACTACGACATATAAAGCGCCCTAGAGCAATAAAATTCATATACAGTACATTCATAACATACCTTAAAATATTTGTAGTCTTAATATAGACTGGGAGGTGAGTAAACAATGTAAAATGAACAAGTGAGAGAGAGAGATAACGAGTAAATAAGAGGAGAGAGATGCAGTTATGTAAACATGCAGTCAAACGCTTCTGGTTCATACACCTAACATCTCATATTAATGTTAGTTTATTCTACTGTGGGATGTATTTATCATGTTTATATGTTACGTAGCGTGTATATCATATAATTTTGAAAAAGAATATCAGATGGATTAATGAAAATGTTTATATTAACATAATATATGACATTTAATGTGCCTCAGAGTGATTATTATTGCATATTATTATTATTATTATTATTATTAATATGGCATCCTCAAGACTAATAAGACACTCTTAGTGATTTTAGTGTGTATCTGCATGTCAGCACAGTGTGTAAGTTTATTTAGGTACAGGTACACATAAGTATAATTATCAGAGTATATACAAAACATGAAATAACTTTAAAACACTTGAAATTTTTCAAAGTTTCCAGACATAATGGAGAGACTCGGTGCTCACAGAGCTCACGGAGAATGTAAACAAACCAGGTGGGGCATGGTGACTGTATTAGAAAGTCAGGTGGAAGGAGCCATATACAGTGGACCCCCGCATAACGATTACCTCCGAATGCGACCAATTATTCCTTATGGGAACAAATTCGGTCAGTACTGGCACCTGAACATACTTCTGGAGTGAAAAAATATTGTTAACCGGGGGTCCACTGTAGTGAGTTTTGGTCATACGTAATTTGAAATGTCCGTATAAGCGGAACGTCATTAGGCAAAACACTGTAAAGCAGGGCCCTACTGCATTAGATTTTTTTTTTTAACACATTGGCTGTCTCCCACTGAGACAGGGTGACCCAAAAAAAGAAAAACACTTTCACCATCATTCAACACTTTTGCCATCATTCACTCATTATCACTGTCTTTGTAGAGCCACCCAGATATGATAGTTTAGATGTCACTCCAAACAGCCAATACCCCAAACCCCTCCTTTAACCCTTAAATGGTCCAAACGTATATATACGTTCATTCGCGTAGCGCCCCAAATTTTTTGAGGAAAAAAAAAATCTTTTCTTTTAAAAGGAAAAAAGAGCATATGGTACCCAGGCATCCCCAATTATTTTAATATGGCACACAGTGAGTGTGCACACCCATTCTCTCATGTCTAGGTGACTCAGGCTTATTGTGGCAATGTTGAATGAATGACAAAGAAAACGTATATACAGTGGACCCCCGCATACCGATTTTAATCCGTGCAAGAGGGGTCATTGTTATGCGAAATAATCGGTATGCGAATGAATTTTCCCCATAAGAAATAATGGAAATCAAATTAATCCGTGCAAGACACCCAAAAGTATGAAAAAAAAATTTTTACCACATGAAATATACATTTTCCTACACACAAAGAGAAGGATACATGCACAATAGTAGAGTAGTACATGCACGATATATATTGTGCATGTACTACTCTACTAAATGAAGAATAAATGACACTTACCTTTATTGAAGATGCAGCAATGACTGATGAGACACTGTGTCCTGGGAGTGCCTTTTCCTCCTGAGTACTGTAGGTCCTGTTTGGTATTTTCTTCCAGAACAGGCCTTATCACACTGTGTATGTCACTACGATTCTTAAATCTCTCAAACCAACCTTTGCTGGCTTTAAATTCACCAATATGAGCACTAGTTCCAGGCATTTTTCCCTGTTCACCTGGGTGTTAGTCGACTGGTGTGGGTTGCATCCTGGGAGACAAGATTAAGGACCCCAATGGAAATAAGTTAGACAGTCTTCGATGACACTGACTTTTTTGGGTTATCCTGGGTGGCAAATCCTCTGGGGTTAATTGTTTCTTAGTATTCTCAATAAGCCACACCAACAACGGTGCTACAGCAGCAGCAGCAGCTGACGGTGGTACAGCAGCAACAGACGATGCTACAGCAGCAACAGACGATGCTACAGCAGCAGCAGACGATGCTACAGCAGCAGCAGACGATGCTACAGCAGCAGCAGACGATGCTACAGCAGCAACAGACGATGCTACAGCAGCAGCAGACGATGCTACAGCAGCAGCAGATGATGCTACAGCAGCAGCAGCAGCTGACGGTGGTACAGCAGCAACAGACGATGCTACAGCAGCAGCAGACGATGCTACAGCAGCAGCAGACGATGCTACAGCAGCAGCAGCAGCTGACGGTGGTACAGCAGCAACAGACGATGCTACAGCAGCAGCAGAAAATGCTACAGCAGCAACAGACAATGCTACAGCAGCAGCAGCAGCTGACGGTGGTACAGCAGCAACAGACGATGCTACAGCAGCAGCAGACGATGCTACAGCAGCAGCAGATGATGCTGCAGCAGCAGCAGCAGCTGTACCACCAATAGTAGCGATGGTTGATTGGGGTTTATTATACAACCTGGCCAGCTCGGAGACACGCACTCCACTTTCATACTTATCAATGACCTTTTTCTTCATCTCTATTGTAATTCTCACCCTTATTGCTGTAGGGTTGGCACTAGAAGCTTTCTTGGGGCCCATGGTCACTTATTTTACACACCGAAAACACTGTAATAATACGAAATATTCCGATTGTATGCTTGGATGTTACCGCGGAGGCTGGCTGGTAAACAATGCCACCGGCGGAACATGTGAGCGTGGCTCAGGCCGCACATTGGACGCGTCTCGGACGAAAATCGGTGAGCGGGTTTTTAAGCGGTATGCGAGGCAAAATTTTTGCGATTAAAGCAAGCGGTATGCGGATTAATCGTTATGTGATGCCATCGGTATGCGGGGGTCCACTGTATACGTTTGGGGCGCTACGCACGTGAACGTATATATACGTTTGGACCATTTAAGGGTTAAAGTGCAGGCATTGTACTTCCACCAAGTATACAGTAGACCATCATTTAGCACGAGTTTATTTGGCACAATTTGGGTATTGCACAATTGAAGAATTGCAGCACAATTTTATGTAACACATCGTATAATTAATTTAACATGGTTCAGTTTGTGGGAAGGAAAAAAAAAAATTCTCTTTTGCTCAAGCGGCCGCCTTGTTGTGGAGCAGCTGGGGAGCCCTCCTGCCATCCCCTGCCACTCCCCGACACCACCCCACCATCCCAGCGTTCGTAATTCATACGTGTCCAGTCTTTCTCTGCTACAAAGCAGCTGTGTTTGTGAATTGTGTTATGATATTTTAACCCTTAAATGGTCCAAACGTATATATACGTTTTTTCAACATCTGAAAGTATGTAAAAAAATGTAGAATTTTTTTTTTGTTTTACATGTGAAAACGTGTAAAAAACTTTTATCTACAATTTTTTTTGTTATATTTGAAAATATGTAAAAAAAAAAGTAGATTTACTTTTGTAGCACTACGAATTTGAACGTCGATTTGTTT